CATCAGATCCTCATCAGTCCTAACCAGAACTCCGACCAGAACTTTGGCTGGAGATCCTGGCTAGAGGTCCTGACTAGGCTGCTGATCAACTGAAGGCTGTCTTCGTGTCATTCATTCTTCGCAGACTCCGTCCACACCCAAAGAATCAACCCACTGTTTAGTACTGAGAAGGGATTTTAGGCACCCAGGGTGGGACCTCTAGGAGTTGCTGTGAGATCACATCAACGCTCCTCCTCTGGGCTTTAAATGTGTGTTGAGATCCATTTTGGTGGTTGGTTTTTAACCCAAACTCGGTGCATTTTTATAATATAAATACAAGGTAAGGAGACATTTTAACACAGAGAAGGGAGAAATGTGCTTAGTGTAGGTTCTGCAGTAACAGCTTGAGTCCAGTCTGCCTGTGGTCTGTCTCCCATCTGGAGCGTGCAGTGGACAGAACAAGCCACAGTACATTCTGCATGGTCACTTACGGTCCCTGATTGGCTTTGTCTTGCTGGGTCATCTGCATCCCATAACGTTTGTGCTTGTACCTGTGCTTACACCACTGCCCATGGGGGTGCGCTGGGGGCTGTGGCCACCACTCAGTCCCCTTGGAGGGACCCCAGCCTTCCCTTCGGTCAGTGTGGGTCAGCGTAGGTGCTTTGGTGGGACCACTCTGGCCAGAACGGGAGACCCCCATGGTCCCTACACACACTCACTTGCTCCAGGTTGTCTGGGTCTCACCAGTAGGAACGCAGACAGGTGACCGGTCATCTTAGAGCCTAGCTCCTCAGAGCCCCCGTCCACATGTGCTTTCACTCCCTCAGCCTGCAAGGGTCAGGTTGCCATCAAAAACAATCTCTACTTTTTTCTTTTGTATTTTGATAAACACTGAAGAAACTAAGAGCTGTTAAAATTTACCTTGGGGAAAACCTCAGAACTGGTTTATCTGGTGTTGTGGAACCTCTTACTGCTTTCAATACACGATTAGTAATCAACTGTTTTGTATACTTGTTTTCAGTTTTCATTTCGACAAACAAGCGGTGTAATTATAGTTATTA